ACGGCCCCGACCACTGCCGCTCGACCTGACCGGAGAAAACCGTAGCAGGAAGGTAGCGAAGTCGTAATATATATCGTCAAATAGAACTGCCCGCACATGATGAGTCGGTGAAACTCCGACGAAACAGTTTGTCACAGCCCCTCGTTTGTTGTCCTCTTCTCTCTCTCTGCCTACGGTTTTACCGGGCAGTTCTGTTTGTGACGATATATATATATATAACGCATACACACACACATACACTATTTATTGTCACATCACTACAATATATATATTCTATTTGACGATATATATGAGTCGGTGAAACTCCGACGAAACAGTTTGTCACAGCCCCTCGTTTGTTGTCCTCTTCTCTCTCTCTGCCTACGGTTTACCGGGCAGTTCTGTTTGTGACGATATATACATAGATATATATAGTCAAACAGAGCTGCCCGGTAAACCGTAGGCAGAGAGGGAGAAGACGACAACAAACGAGGGGCTGTGACAAACTGTTTCGTCAGAGTTTCACCAACTCATCAGGAGGCTGAACCCTTGGCAGTCCGCAGAATCCCCTAACTGATTACACTGTAAGTGATAATCCACCTTAACCCCGGATGTGGTTAAGCATAAACGACTGCCCGACAACTGATACCCTGAGGTGGGCACCAACCACTGTCCTCAAGGTACCTGTGACGAAAATCAAAGCAGACTATCACTCACCCACACCAGATGGAAACCTCTACAGACTGTCAGTTCACACCCCATCATAAGCAAGCGAAACACCCACGAAACAAAGAAATATATATGGTGCGTGTGTGTGTGACGACACATACATGATATATAGAGGAAGAAAAAAAAACTTAAAAAAAGGAAAACAAAGATAAGATATATATGCACACAAGGTTTTCATATATGGTAGTACAAGAACTCCAAGAAGACGAAGAAGACGAAGAAGAAGAAGTCGAGAAGGAAAAGGAGGGAGAAGAAGAGTTTGCACCATGAGATGAACCGCACTTGTCTGCGACGAATTGCTACTCAGTGCCTGTAATTACTACTGTAAGGAGTTCACAAATAAGACAGCAACTACAACAACCACAATAATGATAGGCACACTACTCAGCGTATAAAGGAATCCGTATCCAACCCAAGGTGGAAGGATATCTCCAAGTTCCTTGGTCTCTTCTGTGGCCCCCACATTCGCAGCTTCATCAAACTCCCGCCTTGCCACTCGCTGTGCCACCGCAGGATCAATCCCAGTGTCTGTTATAGCTGCATACGGTGAAACACCGCCCCTTTGTTGACCGGAAGTTGTCCCATCTCCTCCTCCTCCTGCCGCTTCATCGTCCTCCAGGTCTGGCCATTCGCGCATCTCCCTAGCGAGGGCACGAAGAACAGACCGCTCAACAGGTCGGCCCTCGCACACATCAAGCAACGCATCAGCCACTTCTTCCCTGGGAACGTCAGACTCGACCCACATCTCTTCTCTTTCGGCAGCAACCCTGGGATCTTCGATCATAATAGTCAAGCGGATCTCATTCATTGTCATGTCTCGTTTGGCCTTCAATTTCTCAACCACAAGCAAGATACTCTCCACATCGCGTTTATCCTCCTCCTCCTCTGCAGTCATGCGACGTTGATCATTGTTCCCTTGTTCCTCCCTCTCCTGTGTCTTACCTTCACCGTCGTCGTCGTCAAGCGCCTGACCATCCAGCATTGCAGCGATGGGGCCTGCTGCATTGCTTCCGTCTGATGTCGCTCGGAGTGTACAGAACCAATGCCTCTGGCGATGCTGCGGTCGAAGCCTGCACGGGGGAGCACAGGTGGTGCTGGTTGCACACGAGGAAGACGACGGCAATGATGACATAATGACTATAGACAATAGCGAGGGAAAAGAGGTTCTTGAACCAGAGCTTGAGTGGCGGTGGGATGGTAATGGAGCTGCTGATGCGTATGCAGACTCACCTAAGCATGAAGCAGAAGACAATCTCTTCCGTGATGAAACCATTGCTTTTGAAGGACACACACAAAATGACGAATCACAAACGCCGTTCGCCCTCCTGCTCCTCGTCCTCATCCTGCACCTCCCCACTGCATCTGTTGCTGTGGAGGGTATGGGCGTTGGCACATCCTTAACCCCTGATGGTCGTCGCAAGGGTGGCGCACAGCTTTTCCTGACGCTAGGCGCAGAAGCACTGCCCATGCCTTCAATTGTCATATGTTGACAGCGATCAGCTCCGAGTGAGCATCGGGGAGGAGGCACGTCGAGGCGACATGCCGCCATTGTTTTCATCGTCGAGAAAGTAATACTATGCACAAGCCAGCAAGTCTGGCAGTGTTATATTTGAGAGGACGAATCCCAACCAAACATAGAACACTCGCTGGCTTAGGCAGACACCTACAAGCTGGTGGGAGACATGCAAGAGAAACCTCTCTCTTCGTCCTTGTCCTGCAGAAATGCAGACCACGTGACAACAGGAAGCCAGCAAGATGCAAGGCAGGAAGGAAATGACGAAATTGAGTACGAAGTTACAAACCAAAGAAAATTTTTAAAAAAAGCCAGTTGTTACGATCCTGGTCATTCCCAAAGTGCAAATTCACAATGAAAGACAATGCCACCCAATTGCGAAAGAAATGAAAGCACTTGCAAAGGGATAGAGATCAAAGAAGAGAGAAAGAAGAAGACGAAGACGAAGAAGAAGAAGAAGAAGAAGAAGAAGAAGAAGATGTACACCAGCAGCAGCAGCAGAAGAAGAAGAAGATGTACACCAGCAAGACCAATGACAAATCCCCCTTCTCTCTCCACCTTCCTCCTCCTCCTTCACTTCGCCAATCTTATTCTTCTTCCAATAATAATAATAATGACAATGAGTAAATGAACCAGAATCAATATCCGAAGTTCCCTCTTACTGCTGACACAACAACAGGTCCACCATAGCTATGACTTCCCCCCTTTTTCCTCCTCTCTCATGCCTAGGGTATGGCGGACTACTAAGGGCTCTGCCCTCAAAGCAGCTTTGTTGCTGCACTCCTGTCCAAAGGACAACCCAAAGCAGCTATGCCGCCGCTCACTAAGCTGCCATGCCTGACTCTGCCTTGAGCTTCCTTGGTGTGGCACTACCCCAACTGGGGACTTCCGGAGGCAGCGCCCAACAAGGCGATGAAGATGGTGTCGACCATAGCCAAGTAGGTACCTCGCCACTCTCCTCCTTCGCCCCCTTCTTCCTCCTCCTCAGGCTGGGCTGCTGGCCATAGCCAGGCTGAGCGCCCCGCTGCTCTTCTCTTCCAGGAAGCGCTTCCCAAGTCCAGCGTTTGGCTCCAGCAGCATGTCGCCAATCCTTGCATACCGCAAATGAGGAGGAGCTACTTGCTCCTCCTGAAGATATAGCGGCCTACTGGCCTCTTGGGCGGTGACTTCCTAGCCCGAGCAGCCTACCAGCAACCGGTACCTCCTCCTTTTTGGAGGGAAACATCATTGCAGGCTGTGCTATCGTCCGGACAGGCCCTAGACTCAGGCTACTTGGACTGGTACCGGCCTAMCTCTTAACCTACCGCTACTGGGCCTCTAAAAATGCCAACTTTTGTCTTCTTCTGCTCGGCCTCCAGTACCCGACACTTCTACCACTACTTGAGTGGTTCCGGCCTACCTGCTACTTGAGTGTTTTTCCTGCTGCTCTAAGTGTCGCGTACCTACCCCCGCTACTTGAGTGTTTTCTCTGCTGCAACCCTCAAAGTCACGGCCACAGGTAAGTACCGGCCCTGCGGGGCCTTTCAACCAACAAGTACCCTTGCGGGTCACACAAACACTCAAGCACTCAGACAGGCATGCAAACCAGCAGGCACACACACACACACAGAGACTTAGAAATCACAGCAAAATGCGGGAATCTCAGCAAGGCATACATTCCAGCGGCAAATCCCAGAAATCAGCAGTGTTCTGAGTCTGTGTTTTGGCGGGGCATTACACAGTGTAAGACAGAGCAACAATCAGATGCTCATCATTTAGACAGGAATGCAACCACATAGTCGATAGGAAATGGCCTGAAACAGAAGTCGAAACAAGGCCATTTTACCCGTCTAGCTGTAGTTGGGGCAACTTTGAGTTTCGATGTGGAGATAATGGCCGTACGTTGTTTTCGGGTGAAGACTGGTTGCTCTCCACTCACATGAATTTCAGAAAATAGTTCAGAATACTTACCTGCCTGAACTTCCTTCTGGACATCGGAAGGCCTTGGCTGTGGCTCTGTAATGGACTCAAGATCGTACAAGGACTCCTGCTCCCCCCTCTCTCCCTGTCCGTGTGTTCTTTTTTTCTTTTTTTCTTCTCAAGGTTCTCACCACAACAACTCCTTTTCCACCAAGATGAGTAGATCCAGAAAAGGCAATTGCAATATCTCAGCTCAAATCATGCATCAGTCGTGGGCTGTGGGTCGTCATAAGGGTCAAAGGGCCGAAATAGGGTCAAGGACCACGCCCAAGTCATGTAAACTGCCTGAACGAAGGCCTGCTGCTGTGCGGCACCCGAAGCAAGGCCTACAACTGGCCTTCAGAGGCCCAACGTGCGACAGTTCACCGTGGAAAATCAAAGGTAAACAGCAGCTCAGAAATTCAGGCCCATGAGTCAAAGTACACATGAACCCAGTCCAAGTCACCGATCAGACACACACCTTTGGCTGTTTGCAGGTATCTGTAAGGAATCCAGTCCAAGTGGGAATCTGCAACTGTATGGGATCCAGGCCATCGTATCTGAGAGACCAGAGGCTTGTCAACCGGATTCAACACTATAAGTTGACCCAGCCCCTGCTGACCGACATTCAGTCTTGCACATGCTGCTTGACACGGGCTTGATGCTGGCTTGATGCTGGCTGGACGCTAGCTTGACGCTGGCGTTGCGCTGGGTGGACGCTAGCTTGATGCGGCGACGCAGGACTGCTAATGCTGTGTGCTGGCACATTCTCTGTCTTCGGCGCCAGCTGGACACTTGATTATGATGTGGCTCTCGCCACACTGATTATGACATTGATGGGGTACTGGCGAGGACGATAAGGATCAGGGCTGTGAGATTGATCAATGTGGAGGGGGCTTACCTGTTTGCGTTCCTGGTCGATATTGCGCACTGCTGTCTGTCTTCATAAGGTGTCTGCACTGACAAGCGCCATGATGTCAGAGTGTGTCAGAGGAGACTATCGGCTGATGTGGCGAGAGGGGGATGCCCGCAGAAGAAGTGGGATTGTGAGGGGGATCTATCTGCTAAGTTGATGGGTACTTTCTCTTCCACCTTCTAAGTCTTATCTCCCTTCCACCATACTCTTCTCTGGTGACCAGCTGTTGGGCTATTTGACTATACGTACGATTTTGAAGACATTGAACCTGCGCTGAGACATTCGGTGTTCCAACATTGTCAAGCTTCTCTTCAGATTGGGTTCATTGCAATTTGATATCAGAGCGATATCGTCCAATCCGCCGCTAACTGCTGATGCGTGTGATATCACGCGGCGGTATTGTCAAGGAACACGTGAAAGCCTGCGCGCTCGATCGAGTGCTCTGCACGCCTTGATATATATGTCTTTTTCACGCGCGCGCACGTATCTTATGGTGATGATGATAACGATGATCACGTGCACTCAACAACCGCTGGCGAGTGCTTGTTGACGTGGCGCTGGGCAACCGTGCGCGCACGAGAGAGAGAGAGAGAGAGATGTGATGTGGCTTTGTCGGATCAATACGTGCTTGCTGATGTGGCATGGTCCGTTGGTGCTGACGTGGCACCTGACAAGGAAGCAGCGGGTTCTATTGTCTGACGTGGCACTTACCGAAGTGTCGCAACTTACCTGCTGACGTGGCACCTCCGAAGCAGCAGCAGCACACCAGGTTGACGCAGCTGAATGAAGACGACCAGTGATCACATATGGATTGGGCAGACACTTGATGCTCGCATGGATGCTACACATCTCCACTCGGGACGGTCTCACTGGCCAATGATGTTGACATGGCATTTCCTTCGATGATCTGCCACTTAGGCTTGACTGGAGTGTGACACGTGGCAGATCTGACATGTGCTGCCATCTGCTGAAGATTGGTGGGAACAGATACTTGCACTTGTGTGGTCTGACAGACGGTAGAGCACGAGACTATGCTGTAGTGCCACGCGTCAGAACTTGTGCCTGGACACAGGCATCTACGAGGAAGACAGCAAAGGGGAAGATCAGCTGACACATTGTTTATGATGGTGTTGCTGATTTATTGATGATACTTACCTGTCGTGGGCTGTCTTGTGGATGTCTGCAAACTCACCATTGTGTAGTTGTCTTGATTACACTGGCCGTGGCTGCAGAAACTTGAGTCTATAGGGAAATCATCATCAGAAAGGAAACCAACACAGTTAGACCTAGGAAAGAAAATTGAGAATTCTGATTCCATAATTATTTCTGTTTCTTAATTCTTGCCATAGGAATTGAAATTTGTCTTCTAATGTGGCCGTGGAATTTGCAATCGTCTTTTGGAGTTTATTGTGCAACGAGCACACTGGGAATTATGGCCTACATTTGAAACTGTTTGCGTGTACCCATCTTGTTCTTTTTTTATCAAGAAGAAGAAGTGATGCGAACACGTGGCCAAGTAGAGGAAAGATGGCAGCAAATGCAGGGCCGTCTTCGCCAAGTGCCCGTTGAAATGCACGACACTAGCCAGACGTTGAACAGCAAAAGACGAACTCGTGAGACCCGGATCGAGCCCAGACTGCGCTAAGACGAGGCTCGTTGCACAATAAACTCCAAAAGACAAACTCATGAGAGCTATCTGTTGTTCATATGTTGGGGATTAGTGAAAGTGTGCAACAGAATGGCCCTCGATCACTTTGTTGCTGAGCAATTTGCGAGGATAGCTGGTGCAAGGGCTAAAGAAGAAGGGAAAGGAGATGCACGTGAGAGGAAGGAAGAACCCAAATTAACTAAAGAAATCATGGATGACACAATTAAACACTTGCAAGCTGCATTGGACGCAGAAATGAGAAGAAAGGAAGCCTATAGGAAAGAGAAGAGAGAAAAAGAGCAACAGGAGGAAGGTAGAAGAGATAAAGCAGAAATTTCATGTTGTGGATTCGGAAAGTAATGTGTCGTCTGTCTTGCATAACATGATGGCCTATCTCGCACACGAGATTAAGATAAACAACGTCATCGCAAAATTGCAGACGGTGACAAGACTAACAAAAAAGGGAAAAACGAGGTTGTGCAAGAAGAGGTAGCCGAGGAGAAAGAAGAAAAGAAAGAGCCTCATAATAAGTTAATGAACGACACCATGAAACCCCGTGACACGAAAGAACCCGAACCCACAAAGAAGGAAGCCCCAAAGAAGGAAGAAGGGGAAAAACCGAAGAGGAAAGAAAAAGTGAAGATAAAACTTTCATTCACTTACAATGGGAAGAAAGGTGAACATCTGCTTTTGTGGAT